ACCACCTCCCCCACCCCCGCCCCACCCCCCCACCTGCTCAGCGTAGAACTCCCCCTCCCCGGGCGCCATGCCGGCCTCCCCCGTGGCGGCGGTGAGGGCGCAGGCGTGCAGGCGGCGCCACCGCTTGTCGTAGGCCCGGATCATGCGGGAGGGCGGGAAGTCGGCCTTGATGGCCTCGGTGCCCAGGCGCCTGCGGGCAGAGGGCAGGGAGGGGCAAGGGGGGCGGCGGACAATGTAATCGTGGAGAGCATGGGGGAGAGAGAGAGGTAAACTGTGGTGGGCGTGGGGGAGCGTGGTGGCGTGGCAGGGCACTCTGCACTGGCGGGGCAGGTGGGCCTGCCGTGCAGCGGGCTGCGCCAGGGTTCTTTCTTCCCGCCGGCAGCACACCCTCCCCACCTGAGCTCCTCCTCGGGCAAAGCCAGCGCCTTGAGTGCCGTCAGCGCCAGCCTGCAGGCGGGCAGCGGGTGGGGCGGCGCTGGTGAGAGGCGTGCATGCCAGGGAGGGGCACGCAGCAGCTAGCCAGCAAGCCAGCAGCCGGCGTCCCCACGCTGCGCGGCGGTGGGGCTGCCGCGGGCCCTGCGCACATCCTCTGCCGCCGCCACGCCGCTGCGCACCTGATGCTCTGGTCCTCTGTGCAGTCCAGCTCAGCGGTGTAGTACACACCAGGCATCTTCCCAAGCCCTCCTGCTCGGCAAAAAGCACAGCAGTGGTTGGGGGCAGAGCCCGGACGCTCGGCTGGAGCCCAAGCAAGCAATCATGTTGCGTCGCATGCATGGCGCGCGCCCAGAGCAGCCGCCGCCTCGGGCCCGCCCCACGCACCCGTGTTGTGCCCAATCATCACTGCCCCCAGCCACCCAAACTCAATGTCGGCCAGGCCGCAGGGCTCAAAGCGGGAGGGGCACAGGAAGAAGTCTGCGGAAAGACGAGGGGCAGAAGAGAATGCCGTGAGGGCTGTGACGGCGATGTGGTGAACAACAGACAGGCGGAGGTGCCTCAACCAAAGCTGCTGGCAGCATGCTAGCCACGTGCTCAAAGCCGGCAGGAGAAGGGCAGTGGGGCAGAGCAGCCGCCCACCTGCCGCCATGCACAGCTGCTCCTTCTCGGCGCCCATCGCGTACAGGCCGGCCCCATTCCACACGCGGCCCGGGAACGCTTGGGACACTGCAGGGCGACAAGGGAGGTGCTTTGGAAGGCAATACTCTAGCAGCAACGTGCCAGCAGCAGGCAGCCATGTAGGGAGGTGGAGGGCAGGTGGCTGCAGCCGACAGCAGAGCCACAGGGAGCAGGCCATAAGGGAGCAGGCATGGCAGAGGCAGGGGCGGGCGGAGCAGCAGGGGCACTCGGGCTCAGCAGAGACACCAACGGGGGCAGGCGCAGGCGCCCCACCCTTCTCCAGCATGTGCTTGGCCTGCTCGCCATACTCGTCGCCAATGGGGCCCACCATGGCAATCTGGGCCACGCGGCTGCCCTTGAGGATGCTGCGCGCCGCCATAGCGATGATGTCTGCAGGCCAGGAAGCCCAGGGGTGGCGGTGGGGTTGGTGGCGTGTGAAGATAGAGAGAAGGAAAGGCAGGCAAGGGGAGGCTTGAGTGGGGCGCCGGCCTGCCTGCGTGGCCCTGCGGGCATCGCAACAGCCAAGTGCGTTGGCTGCTGTTCAGGGCTGCCCGCCCTCACCGCAGCCCTTCTGGTGGGTGATGCGCCCCATGAACACCAGTAGCCTGTTCTCCTCGCCCACCGCCAGCCCCTTGGCCTGCTGGAAGGCCAGCTTGGCGGCGTGCTTCTTGGCGAAGAAGGCGTCGGGGTCGGCGGCGGCGCCGTCGGCGGCGGCGGGCCGCTGCGACTCCTCCATGCCGTTCAGGATGCCGCCCACCGCGGCACGGGGCAGCGACCAGAACATGCTGAACTTGTCGCGGGCCCTGCAGCGGGGCACAGGGGGGCGGGGCAGGGGGGCGGGGCACAGTGGGTGGCCGGGCCTGGGAGGCGGTTGAGACGATGGGATGGCTGTGGCGTGTGGTGTGTGAGAGGGCAGCGTCTCCCTGGCAGCGCTCAGCGCTCCCTCTTCCAGCCGGCGCCATCATGCTTGGCGAAGCGCAGGCAGCAGCACGCGCCTGACCGCGTAGCGCGGGCTGACCGCCACCACGCCCAGCCCTTGCTGCGAGGTGCGCATGTGCTCCAGCAGCGGGCGCAGCATGTTGAAGCGGCCGTCATGCTCGGCCAGGCTGCGGGTGTGGGCGTTGAGGGGGATGTTGAGCTGGGAGTAGACCCAGGCCTCGCGCTCCTGCAGGCGTTGCGTGTGGGGTTGGAGTGGAGGTGGGTGCCAGGGGCAAGCGGCACGGCGGGGCAGGAGGCGGCAGGGAGAGTGTGTGGCGTGTGGTGGTGTGACTCAGGAGAGAGGGCAAGACCCAGCCCAGGTGGCCGAGGGCAGCCGCCCGGGCGTGCAGGCCCTGTCCTCCACCTGTCACTAAAAAACAACAAAAAACTCACCGGCGTGCCCAGGAGCCACGTTCCGTTGTAGTCTGCGTTGTGCGCCACCAGCATGGCGCGCACGGGGATGGAGGGGGGCAGGTACATGATGCTCAGGGCGCCT